ATGGGTAGCTGAAGAAAAGGTTGATGATGTTAAAGAGGAAATAAGAAAACACACGTCTTCTGTTGAAATGAGTGTGCCAAAAAAGTTAGAATATTTTTGGTTGTCTGGTAAAAAGGAAGTAATTCAAAAGATCTGTCGTGATTCTATAAAAGAGCCTATATCTGCCAATCCTAGTGCTAGGGACAATAAAACTGGCTTAAGATGCTCAACAATGGATCCATTTAATATACAATTAGAAAGTAAAGCATCACTGTTTGTAAGAAATATTTATATTTTATTATCATACAGGGAACTTGGGAATAACACTGAAGTGTCACTTCCCATTGGAGCCTGATGATGATACGTCTGCCAAAGTACAGCAAATAATTCAGAAGCTTTATGATATGCCAAACAAGGTATTTCAATTTCAGTGCTGGTTGGTAGATCTATTCTATACCTTCTGTAGGAATATGATGACCCTTCAATCATGTACAACATTGAGATTATTGAAGAGACCCCTGCTTGGTCATACACCATACAAGGAGGGAATGGAGGGCTAGATGATGATGATGTGGGTCAGTATAAAAAGCATATTATTGATGTCACCATTGTTGACAAAGATTTCCGAGATTGCCATTTAGTGTCTCCAGAAGTCTTGGAAGCGGATATTATTACAGTACTGAATGAAGTCTGGACAAATCAGTATGTAACTCAAATTAAAGCTAAAACCTCATTTCAATGTTTCTTTTGTAGTATCATTAGGTCTAAATTCTAGATTCTACTATGGAACCAAAACAAGTGAACCTAATTTTAAAATTAATTTCTTTTGAGAAAATAGGCTAATATACATTACATAATAAATGAAACATTAAAATTTAATATTAACAATAATTATTACACATCACATGATTAATGAAAACGTTCCTATTAGCAATAATAAAATAAATGGAAGTTACTTAGCATGTACTTGTCCTCCAGTTACTTTTGTTATCCTCTTTCTTCTGTTACGACGCTGACGACAATAAGCAACAACAATGATAAATAAAACAAAGAAAATAATTAATGTTAAGCCGCAGAGAGGAAGAGAGGATATCCAGTACTTTTGAAGATAGACTCTTCTTGTTATAAATGTAGCGAACAGATTCACTTTCCCTTCAAATCCAATAGTAGTGTTACCAAAAAGACACAAGTGACCACGATTGTTCTTATATCTGCTCTTTTTGGGATTTATCATGATAGAGCAATATTTATTTGACTGAGTAAGATGGCACTCATCAACTCTGTATTTTGCTGCATTTGAATATGCTGATATATTTCCTGAAATGCTGACATTCACTTTAGTTTGATTAACTACAGCAAGAACAAAATAGCGCAAAGAATTACCTGGTAATGGTATTGAGAATGAATGAGTTCCATTAGTACCATTACAATCTGAACTGTATACGAAACGAGGTGGATCATCTTGAGGATCTCTAGCAACACGTGTGTAGCTAATGTAATCGGAGTCATTAGAAAAACCAAACAATCTCATTGCACAAGAGACCCTGTCAGGATTGCTATTTACCAAATCGATAAATAAATTAAGAGTCCCTCCACCACTTGCTGTATAAATAGGCTCGTGACAATCGAAATACGAAATGGAGATCGGAAGAGAGGAATGACCAGAATGGCATTTATTATAAATGTATGGTAAGACCAGGAGATGCGTGCTAATATGATCTTCAGGTATGGCATAGACAGTAGCGTAGTCTATATGTGTCAAGGAACTGACATCAACTAAATCTGTAATCGAAATATCGAAGCAGTCCAATTTAACGGTAGTGTTGACACCAATTGGGTAGGTCTGATTCTGTGGGTCTTTTACATTGACGTCAATGGATGGAATGAACCATAGGTTCAAAATAATAGCAATCATCAGGGAACAAAGGATCAATAAAACTACCACAATAAAGCAACAGGTACCTAAAAAGTATTAAAGACACATTAAAACAATGAGTTATACTAAATTAACTAACTTACAAGTTTCCAATTGCCTTGAAACCTTGATACGACGTCTCTCACAGTAGTCTCGTAGCTTCTGTTGGTAGCTTGAACAGCCAGATTCTTGTAGCCAATCAAAGACAATACTGATGTCTTCCTCTGCATGAAGTGGTTTCTCCTCTAAGAGACGACAAATGAGGTCACAGCGATGCTTAATATCTACATGGCCTAACAATATCCCACCATTTTGCTCAGTATGAAACTTTTCGAATTTATCGTAATCACTTTCACTCATTGTTATTACTGTCGTTGCTAGAGTGAGAATCATGTCGATTTGCTTGTAAACATTATTGTCATTAGGTGACACAGAGCGAGGAAGGCCATTCATGTTGCATCCTAGTCTCTCCAGCATAAAGTATAAAAGGTCCTCGGGATCTATGCCATTCTTTGTTATTTCTGGACAAACTTTGATGCCTTTTTCAAAAAGTACAGAAAAGGATTCATCCAACAGTGGCTGGATTTGCTCTTCTGGATCCATCTTCAAGATAAAGCGGCAACAAACAGCAATAGCTTGTATTTGGTCTTCGGAAAGACCTCCCGCTCTCTTTCCACCCAATGTCTTCACTAGCTCATCGACACCGCTACTAAATCTAGCCTGTTGTGGGGTTTCATCTTCACTTTCACCTTCTGATGACAATTTGTGATACTTTGCACTATGATCACCTCGAGAATCACCTTGTTCCATTATAAAAAATCAGCTCGTCTACTATCTCTGGTCACATGATCTACAGGAAAACAATCTAAACCCAGCCCCCGGAAAAGCTCAAGCTAGCTTTTGAGAAGTCGCAGGCTCAGCAAGACCGCTAGGCCATGTCTCTTTCACTCTCTTGTTGTTTGTCATCAATAGACTCTCTCCTAACACAAGATGAGCTCCATTGTCTCAAGTTAGTTGCTGTCCACGGGTTAGGCCTGCATGTAGCTGCTACTGCTACAAACTTCACATCAATCTACACCTCACTGGAGAAGAACCATCCTAGCACTGCTCCAGCCATTGCCCTGTCTCTACTATGCAGACTAGGCCTACCTGAGTGTCTTCTGTTCAAGTTAAGAGAGAAGTCCCAGCGCCTCCCTACAGATATACTGCTCTCATCCTTTCCAATGGCAGATCT